AAAAAAAAAAAAAGGTTTAAACACATGAGCCCAGCAGCAGCCTGGTTCGCAGCAGGTGCCATAAGCAGCTGTGTTGGCACAGCAGAGGAAGCGGTGCAGCATGGCAGGAGCTGCACAAGCCCATGCTGCTGCAGGGCACCCATACTGTGGGTGGCTCAGACAGGCCAGGAGCAAGCCTCTGAGCCAACACAGCACAAAACGTAACCATCAGCCTGACAGGGAAACAGAGGACTGTTTTTCTTCAAACACAGCTCATACAGTCAGTGCTGTTGAAACTGCTGTAGAAAAACATGCAGCAGCCCCCTAAGAAGCTGCTTTTGCTTTCCAAGACAGCAGCTTGGAGGGTTTGGTTTATGGTGCAGGTCAGCACTTTGGCACCATTTCACCCTCTAGATGTCCAGCCAAAAGTGGCCATGTTTACACAGAGAGCAATGGCTGATCTTACGGCTGCCCTCAAAACAATATTTGTCTACTATCCACACTATAAATCACTTCTCTCCAGTGCCCATAGCAGCCAGTTATGCTAGGGCTGACCTGATACCAACACTGTCTTCTCTTTGCCTTCTCATAGCATGGCCCCTAGTAGGTGTTTGCGGCTTACACACATGCTAGAGGTTTCACATACAGAAAGTCCTCTGGCTGCAGTCCCGCAATACCTCATTCCTGGCTTCTTGCCCTTTGTTTAAATTCCCTAGCCTGCTTATACAAAGAGGTGAACTCTCTGCAGCCCATTCTTCAAAAGGTCCCAATTCTCACAAGACCAGAAAACCAGGGAGATATGAGTTACGCTAGAGAAAGCAGCGGCATAATATGGATTACTATGGGGCAGATATGGGAAACAGAGGCTCCCAAACCTCGGGCTGGTAGGGTCAGTCTTGAGGCAGTTCTCTAAACAGCCTTTTTACCTGGCTGGATTAATATATCTGAAGCTGGTGGACACTAGGACCTTCCTGTTCTGTGTTATGAATAGAATAATTCAAACACCTAATAAAGCTCTTAAGTTTGAGTGGCATCCTGCTGGTGAAGCTGTTAAGCAAAATCTTCTGCAGCACAGCAAACAGATTAATACTAGTGTGTGTCCACCATAACATTGCAAACCTAGATTTGCTAGAGTGCAAATCTAATAGCGCTTAGGTAGCCTTTCAAGCTGCATAGGTGGAAGATGAGTTTTGGAAGATCCTGGAAAAGGCCACTTCCTGGATTGCCTTTTAAACACACAGGTTTCCTTGATCTGGATCCTAATGGAACAAGCCTTAAAGCAGCTAAGGAGTGCTTAGTTCTACCTCTCAGTACCAGAAAGGTAGAAGTTATATTTGGATTCATTCTTAAGAAGAGTTTCTAGAAGATCTTTAAGGCTCAAGTACTGACAAGGTTTATATACTGTCTGTAGAAGACTCCTTGGATTGCACTCCATCAATGCAGAAACTCAGAGGACAATTCCAACACCATCTTTGGACCAAGGTGTGTGCAGTGACACTCTGAAGTTACAGCACAGCCCTGCCTCCATATCCAAATGTTAAAGAAGATAATTTAACTTCACCATCATTATAAGGCAGTCCAGTTTAAGTTTCTCAGGTGCATCTATTTACCCCGAATAGTTAACTGTGCCTATTATGAGGTCTGAAGTGGTCAGATGAAGCAGACTTCTACACATACTGTAGAAGGAGATCCCAGCCATGCACATGGAGACACAAGCTTTAAAGACCATAGCGCAGATTTCCTTAGATAACTGCACTTCCAAAGAAAATCTTCTGTTTGATGCAACAAATATTTTTATAGAAGGGAATAAGATGGACATGAGTCCTTTGCACACTTATTTATTCATAGAAGTAGTCTGTTGACTTTTTTCTTTTGAAGGACATAGCTAGGGAAACCTAACTTAGCAACCCCGTCTTTAGCAGCTTTTCAGACATGCGCACAGGTACACACACAAATTTAGACCAAAAATGCCAACCAGCATGAAAAACTCTGAGCTGTTGAGAAAGCCAGCGTTAACAACATCACAAGGTCAGGAGCCTGGTGGCAGCTAGAACTCCTGTGACTGGACATATTTGTGGGCCAGTTTAAGCAAGATGGTCTTCTTAAGAAGAAGTTCGGGAAGAACATTAGGTAACACCCCTCCTCAAGCGATGGTCACGCAGGAGAGGAGCTTGTTCAGCTCATCATCGTTTCTCACGGCCAGCTGGATGTGCCTGGGCAGGATCCTGGCTTTCTTGTTCTCATGTGCAGCGTTCCCTGCCAGCTCCAGGATCTCCGCGCTCAGGTACTCCAGCACCGCAGCCAGGTAGATGGCAGCACCAGGACCGATCCTGTCAGCATAGTTCCCTCTTTTAAGGAGCCTGTAGACACGACCCACGGGGAACTGCAGACCCGCCTGAGCTGATTTGGTTTTCTTCGGTGCAGCTCCAGTCTTGCCAGCCACTGTGTGTTTCTTTCCACGTACAGACATTCTGACGGGTGAGGAGACACAAAGGGTTGGAGACCTTCAAATTACCCGGGAGCTTGGGCTACAGCTAACTGATAGCAAGAGGAGACAACAGCAAGGTGAGTTACGCTTTCTGCCTTCCCACATCAAGAAGAAAGCTTGTTCTTTTCTTGAGGAAAGAGCGAGCCACACACCACAGTTGATTAATAGTAGAGCCAAGATTTTAACTACTACTACCCTTTTACAGCCTACCTTTCAGGTGAGAGATCTCATTGTAAAACCAGGGTGGTCTGACAACCTGTCAAGAAAGACTTAGTGAAGTAGATATGAAGAGCTCAAAATAAGAGGCTTTTCTCTGCTACTTGGCATGTATTTGGGATTGAGGCACAGCGGGTCTTCTTCAATGAGATTTTTCTTAAGCACTGTAACTGTTACCTCAAAGCTAACGTGAGGCCAAGCCTGCCTCTTCTTCCAAGAGGAATCTGTATTCTAATTTCTTCCATTATCAAGTTAGATCTTTCTTTCATTTTAAATCTAACAATTGAAAAATTCCAGCGGCCCACAGCATCTTATACCCAAAATACTCCAAGAGGACTTCATACGAAGTTCTAAATTAATTCCCCAAGGGATATTCTCTGGCTGCTATGAGAGTACTGGAGGTGTTCTGCACCAGGAAAAGGAAGAATTGACTTGGACAGCACAGTGCAGCCAGAAGAATAGAAATTACTATCTATTTACTCAAGATTAAGGAAATTCAGTCCGATTAGAGTACTCGTACAATTGGAGTGGCAAAAATACTTATTTAAATAGTATTTCTAATCTATGAGTAGATAGGACAGTTAGCTTCCAGCACAGCTGTTTGCAATATACAAGAACATCCATCACTAGATTAACATGTGGGTCTTTTGTGTAGTTTTTATAGAGAGATTTAAATATTTAAGAAAAGTCAGAATAATATTTAAGAGGGAGGAACAAAAAAATCCCAGCCCATAATAAAATCCAAGCAAACCAAGCCATAACTCCTTATTCCTATTATCAGACAATAATTTTCATATTCTGATTACTCACATTACAAACATACTGTGCTACAAATGCAGCTAACTTACAAAAGAACATAACGTCCACAATAACCCCAAATCTTTCATTATGTATTATAAATGAAAAATATATCCCATTACCTTCAAAAATTCTTATTTTGGTCTACTCTGTGCTTTGCTACAACCTGTACTCAAAGACAAACATCATTTCCCCTACCCCTGGGGCAGAACCTTTTTATTAGCACCTTTTTCTCCTCATCAGTGGGTCACCTGGACAATTAATGAGTCATTCTCACATGTGGTTCATCTTCCTCCTAATCCCTGATTTGGGGGAAAAGGAAGAAATACGTTATAGATGCTCAGAAGGAAATTCTTGGGGGGGGTGGAGAGAAGCCAGGCTGTCTCCAAGGGCTGAGCCACAGCTATATTTCAGTCTCACTGTGATGCCGCTAGTTCTCACCCACTGGCTGGAGTATTTCTGTCTGTACACCATGTGTAAAAACAGTCCTCTCTTTCCTGCTTAAGCTTGCTAAAAAAGCACATAGGGGAAACGTGCTTTATAAATACGATGTATTTTTAGTTGGGTGGGAGGGGGGAAGACTGTGCATTGCTTTATGCGTGTCCTGGGCAGAGAGAGTTATGCTTCGTTCACATTGTGTCTGAGCCCCACCAAGTGATGTGATGGAGCTGCTCCTAAGATTTGAGCTTCTGCCCCCTCTTCTGGTAACTGTCTGCCCCAGATGGGGCTCAGGGTTTACTGTGGGAACAGAGGGGTTCTGGTGCCAAGGGTCCTTGGCTAGTTCCTCTCAGTTCACCTGGGCAAAAATCTCACCTAATGCAAATCAATATTTTCGAGCACCTTTTAAAAAATGAGTGCACTCTCTGCTCATGCTCTTTCTGTGTTTGTTTTCTGGTGTTCAAAATAGGTTCCAATCAGCAACATGCAACAGCCATGGGTGTGAATGGTATTTCAGCCGCAGAAGGTGACTATTAAACCAGCAGGGCCTCCTGAAAGCCCAGGGTCTAACAAAACATTCATACAGCAAAACTGGCACCGACAGCTAAGCCTTCGGTTGTGCATGCTGGGTACTAACTGTGGGTCAAAGCCAAAAGACTTTGGAGCGCCTGCAGAAGACTCCAAAATTGTGATCCCGAAAACATCAGCTCACATGCTGCCCTGCCGGAAGGCTCCGTAGCCCTTTAGTTTCTGATTTAAAGTTCATGCATCATCTATATCTGTGGCTCCATCTATCACTCAGACAGCCACTTTTCCCACGAGGATGAGTGTTTAGTCCAAGCTGGGTAAGGCTGAGTCTTCCTCCACCTCAGGGCCCTGGGAGACGGGTATGGGGCACCCTCCGTGCGTCCAAATACTCACCATAAGGGCTGATGTCCCCTCAAAGCACAGCTATCCATTTCTTTTAGTTCAGAGGCAGAAAAGGTGCCTTCCCTTCAGTAAACCAGCCTTAGCACAGGGTAAGTGCCCCAGCACGCTTCAGGATACATGGGTGTTAACGGGATGTCCGTGATGTTATAACGTGTTATAACGGGGCTTCTGAATTTCCATTTCAGGCCCTTGGCGGAGCAGAGACACAGCCGTTTCTCCGCATGCCCAGAACAAACACACTCTTAAGGCCTGCTGGCAGATTGTGTGGGGTGTTTTTCTGGGGACTCAGAGCTGGGCTCCCCCTTTCTGGGTGAGTGTGCTTGACCATCAGCTAGAGCATAAAAGGAGGGGGAGGTGGGAGCGGACCTATTCCCCCTTCTCCTTTGCTGCGTGTCTTTGAGAAGAAAGCGCAAAGTCTGCTCAATTCTTTGCAAGGGTAGAGGTGCCCATTCTTAGGGAATGGGGTGTTGATCCCAAATGGATTGGGGTCACCATACTTGACACACTCCTCAGTGTTTGGTGAGTAGTGCTTTAAGACAGATTCAGGTATAAAATAAAAGATAAAAATAAAAAATAAAAAAAATCTTGTACTGCTAATTGGCTATGGCCTAATCCTAACAATATTTGGAATACTGGTAATTATGTCTGATACGAATAGATAATATAGTTTGAATTTTTTTTTTTTTTTGACAGAACAGGGAAAGAAAAATGAGGAGAGAAGCCAGTGGAGAAATAAAGCAGGATATGAAATACAAACAGACAAAAAGAGACTCAATGAAGAGGAAAGGGAAGAGTTACAGAGAAAAACTAAGGCAGAGGAGAGTCCCAAAACTTACCAACTGTATTTGGATGCTCCTAGGGAAGTGTTCCTTATGGCTGACAATTTATTTGGGGTGTTTCTATGATGCTGAATGTTTACAGCATTCAGCATTTATGCTGGCTGGCGAGCGTGAGGAGCTGAGGCCGTGCCCAGGTCAGCACCCTGCCTGGTTGGGTTCCCACATGTCATGGCCACGCTGCTTCCCCTGCGTGCCCTACAGAGCCTCGGTGTCCAACAAGGACACGCCACCCGGGGCTGGGCAGGAGGGCTCGCAGCTCCGCCACCACATCACAAGGGTGCCCGTGAACTCATTTCAGCAGGGCTGACCCACAGAAAATGCACTTTCTCTTCCTGCCTGATTGCTTCACAGGTGAGAAAGGAGTGCTGCAAGGTGCTAGGAAGTAGCTCCCTGGTTTTTTTTTTAACTTCTGAAACAAGAGTTACAGAATGCATTACATGTTTTTCAATCTGATATCGAATTCCTTGTTTTGCTCTCCACTGTGTAAGTCTTTTCCAGGGTGCGTTTAGCAGGCTACTTTCAGAGGATGCGATTTTGTATCCCTCGCTGTGCTGCTGAAACAATGATAAAAGGGGCAAGGCAAGAGCAGAGCTCCGTTGCAAACCTGGCTGAGCTCCGATGGTGAGGATATAGCGCGGGGATGAGGAAAGGTTTCTTAGGTTGTGCCGGCTGCGAGGCTGTGCCACCTGGAAGTCAGGCAGGAATTCCTCTGCCCTCCATGACTTACATCCTGCATCGTTTCCGAGCTGATGTTGGTTTGAGGGGTATGAGGAGAGGGTAGGGGCATCTCTCCAGATGAAACGGTACTTGGGTTAAAGCCCTGCCGAGACGGGCTTCGGGCAGGGCAGCAGCTCACACAGAGCCCCGCTGAGGTCGTGCGGACTCATGGCTTACGTGAACAACCTTTGTGTGAAACCCCTCCAGAAGCACTTGTGGGGTGGCATGCAGGGACTGGTGCTTGCAGGCCCGGGGACGAGTTGGCACCCACCACAGCTGCTCGCAGGAGGGACTGGTGCCCGTCAGCCCCGGGCTGCTCCATGAGGCACCCACACCTTCCTGCCTGCAGACGGGGGACGGGGAGCAGCGAA